GGACCTTCAGACTTCAGGGTGATTAAATGCATCTTGTTTTCTATTTCGGACAAATACATATACTCACACTTCACTGTTATAATTATACCACTGTGTCAAGCAGGTATCGTAAGATTCCCGGCGATAAATGTGAGGGCGGTTTCAGCCCTACGAGAAGAAACAATGCTTTGAAAAAGAATTGTGGGAAAGACAGTTCACCTACTTCCTCAAATTTGCATACTGAGAAATCAGTAAGTAGTCCATTTCTGAGAATTATTCAATCATTTGAGGGTGGCCAAAAACATTCAGTAAAAATCATTTTAAATACATTTTGGGCCATTCTTTGAGGATGGATGTTACATACAATATGAAGAGCATAAATCCTTTGAATAAGTAAAATTTGCTTACGCATTATAAGCAAGACTGCTGTATTTTGGAATTAACATGGCTGTTGTTCAGCTGCATATGTGATTTTTTTCAATAGTTCAATAAACAAGATGTTAATATTGAGAAACTTCCATTGTGGTCACAAAAGTATCAGTTACTTTTGGTCTGTTTTTGCTTTGTCTGTTTTTTCAGTGACTCATAAAGACTTGTTTGCTGCAACCTACTGTTTTAACAATATAACTTCAGATCGAGTCAGATAAAATTCCCTCCCTCCAAAATGCACAGACTAAAATAAGAAAAATATAAGTATTATTATATATAAATATAATAATTGTTGATACATTTATTTACTGTCTTTTTATTTGCAGCCAGGCATGCTGGTTCTCATTGTGGTATGTACTTGTGTGGGGGTCATCGGTTTGGTTATTACTGCAGCTTTAATAATCACTTCAAGGAGAGGACACTGTAGGCAAAGGTAAGGTAACATGATAAAAACCTTCATCATCCTGTGTTCGATATTACATCCATTTAAAGCCACGATTAGTATCTGACATACGAATTACCTTGCAGAAGTCACATTCTCTTCTGGTCAAATTGTGTCCCCTGCAGGTCACCTGCGTATCGCTTTTCTGTTCTGCAACTCCAGGAAGATGAACTGTATGTTAACTATGAGAGCAGCCCCAATGGCAAAATAAATGGTTTCCAGGACCAGGAGGATTCAGATGATGTGAGCTTGATTAAGCAAACAATATTATCCTCTCTTGCATCCATTCAGTTTGCCTGTTTATATTGATTTAAATTTTAAAGTATAATAACACCCCCTCACACACACAGATACCCCTGTTATTTCCTAATAAATGCCTGTTTATTATTGTTATTATTATTTTGCATTCACTTGCTGACCTTTTGACCTTTTCTTTAGGATCTCATCGAATGAACAACATAAGCTTGGAACAACTCAAGATTTGCAGACAGAAGTGAATTGTTTCAAATGAATCTCTTCTCAACCCCTGCAGGCACTGTAACTGGACAATAAACGGCTAGAAATAATGTTGAACTGAAAATGATATCTTGCTGCGGTCAGGTTCTTGTTTTGTTTTATGAAGTGTCTTATAGGCACCAGAGGATAATGTATAATTACGAGTGAATTTACCTTCACACTCTGTCTTTTGCACTGGAATCATTCATATTCCCTCAAGCTGCTGCTGGCAATCCTCCTTGAGGTTTGGGACTATGTATTTTCAAATAGACCATTCTACTGTTTTTAATTTGTAAATAAATTAAAATGCATTTAAACAGCCTGGATTATTTATGCTCTTCCAATCATCCACATTTAAATAATTGTTAAACACCATATTTAGTATATTTATATTTCAGAGTATATAATCATAAAATAATTTGAAGTTTTTTTTAAATAGCTTCATAAAGAATAAAGTATGTTACATTACATAGTGCAAATTGCTCTACCACTGTATAGCTAATACAATATAGAAAAAATTCAAAAGAGAAAGAGGCCAAAGAGTATGTCTTTGAAAAACAAATAAACCACACACCTCACATGAACATATATTCACCTCACACCTCCTCGGTAACACATACTCTCAAGCATACACTACATACTACACTATACACCAACATGCACCAGACACACATCTTGGTTACACTTTATTTTAAGGTGACCTTGTTACAATACATTTAAGTACTACCTAATAGTACATGTACTTACTATTAGTGTTAGGGTTAAGGTTTGGCTCAGGGTTAGTTGCATGTAACTTTGCATAATTGACTGTTATTACTATAGTAATAACATGTAACAGGGACACTCACTAAAACACAAGCCTGACTCAAGATTCAAGACTCAAGAATATTATACCAACACAGGGTATACGACAAAATAAATACATTTATAAAACATTTATGAATTACACAATATAAAGACGTAGTACACTTTTGTCTTTGAATCGCGTTGAGTGTTTTTTTCAGTCCATTGTCTGTCCAGTCACATTATGCTATCTACATTAAAAATCTAGAATTTCCTATTCAAGCATAGCTTACTTTAGTTTAACGCAACATCTATGTCTTAAAATTAATTACATATTAATTAATATCTTTTTTTATTCAAGAAATGTTTTACAATACTGCAAAAACACATTTCTTCGAAATCTAGAACATTTCCAAAAAAACATATATTAAACAAATGAAGTCAATTTTGCACAAAGGTAATTTTTTTATCTTTTTTTTTTATTTTATTTTTATTTTTTTATTTTTATTATAAATTACAAAAATAAGTCAGATACTTACACAAAAACAAAATTCAAGGAATTAACACATTCCTTATATCACAAATATATAAGTATAAAAAAAGTAAATTATATATATAAATCTACACACACAAACATATACATACATATACAATATAATTATTCCATATAAGTAAGATAAAAGGATACAAATAAAAGTATCAACCATAGAAAGCAGAAAATTCATCTTACACAAACAATACATAGAAGGTAAGTTAATCACAATAATATCAGGGAATACCAAATATACTTTTATAACACTCTATAAATCTATTACTTTTCTTATTATCTATCAGGATAAGAGAATTAAGAAGTAATTTAAATTCCACTAAAAATAAAGGGAATGAGGGTTGAGACCCTAAGAATTTCTGTTTATGAATGAAAAATTTCCCCAATAAAATACAAAAATTAACCACATGAGTAAGAGATTGATCCTTACTATTATCATAGTAACATATTACATCCTTGAGAGAAAATTTATAAATTATCATGGGAGGGTGGAATATGAAATGATTTAAATCAGACCAAAACTTCTTTGTATAGTCACAATGAAAAAAAAGATGAGTAAAAGTTTCATCAGCGCGTCCACAAAAGGAACAGGAGCTATCAACATCCATATATTTGGATATTATAGAATTTATAGGATACATTTTATGTAAGATTTTAAAATGAACTTCTTTTACCTTGTTGGAAATGCAAAATTTATGAGGTAAAAGCCATGTTTTTTTCCAGTTTATATCATCCAGCTGTGAGTTCCAGTAAAATTTTCCTCTTGGAAGAACTTTGTTTTTACTTTGCAAAATTCGACGAATGTATTTATTGTTACATTTTTTATCAAGTAATTGAATGCCGTTCAAAGACAATGTAGGTTGAGCATATGAGGTATTTCTGACGCGCAGACTCAAACCGACTCAAACTAAGCTTGATGACGTGAGCAACCTGTCTGACAGACGTTACTCTTCTAGTAGCTGTGCGTGAAAATTGCCAACGTTAATCTTGCAGAGACGGGGAACTTGCGCAAAGAGTCCTTTATCGTGAGTGAGCAGGAGTAAGTATTCCGTTGCTTTTATGGACTCATTATCTATGGGCTTCTCCCTTGACGGGACGTCCCGCCGATTGCCTGCGAGCTTCTCCTCCTGTCTGTAACGGTAATTTCTGTACAGCGCGACAGAGAGTCGAGTGGTTATGACGCAATCGTTAGCCTATTTTTACTAAAACTGTTTCTACGGGGCCATAATGTAACATAGAAGGTAATGGAGCCCTTTATACATTGTCGTGTTTCTTTAGAAATAAATAATGGACAAATGGAGTCTTTAAACGCCTCAGATGTAAAGTTATTCGCTGTCAAAGTGACGTCAAAATGAATGGTAGTCAATGGAAATGCTAACGCAAGTGAAGTTCTGCTACAAGATGGCGGTACCCGGCCGGCTTCAACTTCCGGTCGATGGATTACCCCCTTGGGCTCAACCCGGGCTCAACTGATTACAAATGTACTGTCTACGCAGGTGGGCGGGCCTCCTGTAGGACACGCCCCCACCGTGACGTTTCGTTCTCAAACACACGTAGTGTACACACTGGTCAGAGCCATTTTTTACAGTCTATGGTCAGAGCTCCACCTTGCATGTGAACCCGGATGTGTCGGGATATTCAGCACTACACGTCGCCGTGGCACTAGGTACTCCTCCCTGTACTCCCCTACTTTATTCAATATCTTTCTAACAGTAGGTCTGCTGGGTTGCATGCTTTTCTTGAATTTACACTCAGTTTTCTGTGTTTGAAGGTTTATTTTTGTGTTTTGTTTTTATATTCGTCTCATGCTAACGGCTATTGTCACTTTACAGCTGTCAACTAACACATAACGTTACACCGTTGAATTCGCTTCTGTCGTCTTTGTCAGCCACAATAAGAGGTTTTCAGGTTGTATGTGTTTGTTTTACAGCATAAGTCATGAGCTGAAGTTAAAGCTAACATTCAGTAACATTGTTTTTTTTGGATGGTTAATTGGCTGGTGTTGACCAGAATCGTTTTCAGACATCATGACAATCACGATACAAATAGGGGTATTACTATATATAAATATATGGCCAATATAAATGGCCAATGCTGATACTGATATCTTAATAAGTTTAATGCTAAACACTGGTTTTACACATTATATTTACTTTTTAATTGACTAAAATAGTTGAAATTAAAAATTGTGCCTGGCTGTTGGTTTGGTGTTTTGGTGGTCTTTTTCCCCCCACAAACATCTTGAGAATTTGCATTAAATTCCTGTTGGTTACATTCGTGTTATTAATGTTAAATATTTAGGAATTCAGGCTTTTGTTATATGATGATATCTGATCTCACGTCAGTTGTCCTGATCTCAATGTGGTTACAGGTGCTTGCTGAGCCATCAGGATGATGCGAGCCGGAGGTTTGTTCCCCTTCTTTCAAACTTTGGAAGTATATAATTACATGTAACCAAAGGCAAATATTTGCTCAGTTGCCATTGACAATATGATTTGGAAATGTGTGTGAAGAAAATTAGACTAATCCTCCTAATCCAGTAATTGTTTACCTTACAAAAGTATACAAAAATAAAGTTAAAATGAAGTATAATATAATCCTATTATATTATAATTTAATAACTATGGTCAGTTAAACTGAAGCCCCTCTAAAAAAGGCCTAGTGACGCCCATGACTATGGACTTCAAATGTTTAAAGGGATAGTTCAGCCAAAATTGAAAATGTTGTCATTTCTTATTCACCCAAGTTGTTACAAACCTGTATGAGTTCCTTTCTTCTGTTGAAAAAAAAAATAAGAAGTGATCATATTGACTTCTATAGTTGAAAAAAAAAAAATACTATGGAAGTCAATGGGTGCCGTCAACTGTCTGGTTACCATTTTTGGGTGAACTATCCCTTTAAGGATATGCTAAGTTTGGTTTTGACAATTTAGGTTACTACATATTTTTGTTATTCTCAGTGTACTATTTGCATTAAACATTGTTTCCCCCCTTTTTACAGGAGTTTTGAAACTCACTGTGCTAGTTTCTATTTTTTTTCTGGCTGTGTTCCTGGCCTTTGAGCTATTAGAGAATCATATGAATCTTAATATGGGGAAAGTCTTTGGTGAGTTAATCTTCTGCAGCATCAATCACACACAGTTTCCTGTTAGCAAAGTAAACTCATTGGCTTGTTTAATTAAGAATAGCCTAGATTTCATCTTTCAGTGTTTGACATGGCATGTTGCTATTGGCTAATCGACACCTGTTTCTCTACAGCACGATATGCACCTGGAGAGACCGCCCGTGAGTACATATTTACTGGTTGTCTTTATGAGAGTTGAGGATTGTGAATGAGTTATGTTCCTCGATCCTTCCTAGCTCTTCCTGAACTTGTTAGAACATGCAGTTATAATAATGGAATAAAATAGCAAACGGAGCTGTGCACAACTCAATCATAGCCTTGCATATTAACGCAGAGTATTAACAATATGAATGATTCATATGTAGGTTAATGGTTAATGTGTGACATGAATAGTATGTAAATGTTAGATTCCTGATATCAGGGACAATGTTCTGTAGTTGTCACACTGAATGTGTTGTTCAGCTGCCATTTACTTAGTAATTTGATAAAGTAGGTGTGGTCTTTTTATAAATTATTTGAGAAATGTGTCACAAGATAAAATAAACAGTAAGACTTGATTCCGCATGAAGATCTGGTGTATGTTTATTGTTTACATAGATAATCAATTAATAAATAGCCTAGACAGAGGGCAAGAACATGCATAAAATGATTTTTCTTAAATAAGACAGACATCTCTGTTTATGTATGTATTGATGTTGTTTTCAGCAACCAGGCCACCGCGCCACAAATGCGGCCTTTCTAAATCCTGTCCCGAGGACCATTTCGCCTTTAAGATCACCAGTGGAGCAGCCAGTGTAGTCGGCCCAAAAATGTGTTTTCAGGACAATGTGTAGGTTTTACACGCATCTTATTGTACAACACTATTGCGTTAACACTATCCAAAAATACAAATCCTGACTCCTGCATGAATTCTAGCTGGGTGCATGAGAAGAATTTGACGGCTGCAGTTTGAACTCTTTCTTTGATCAGATTAATGAGCGGAGTGAAGAACAACATTGGACGTGGTATAAACATCGCATTGATCAACGGTACGCCTCCTTTTTGTCTTCAGAAACATGTTGATGCTGAAACCTTTTTAATGTATGTATCGTGAAGTCATATCCAGTAGATACTGAGAGAAAATGAACTGCATTAATTCACAACAGGGAAGACTGGTGAGATGACCAGGACTGATTTCTTTGACATGTGGTCTGGAGGTAAATCTGCTTCTACACGCCATATCTGGTTTCCATATACAGATTTTGCAACTGTAAGTCGCTTTGGATGAAAGCGGCTGCTAAATGAATAAATTTAAATAAAATGTAAAACTGTGGGTGATCCAGTCACTAGTGCATAGTGCTTTCTCAAAATTATGATATGTTTGCACCACAGCTCTACATCTTCACCGGCATCATGTCGACAGATGATTGTTTCATTATGATGTAGATTTGAGACTATAGTTTGAATGAATCCCTTTTCTTTGCATCACACATGGACATGACAGTACAGAATAACACTTTCTGCATCATCCTGAACATTGTATAAGCATCTGTTTCATTTGTCATGTGAATGTCACACACTTTTGAATTTCCTGGCAAAAACATCCAGAGTCCTTCATATAAAAATACAAAAGTCTACAGGGTTTAATAGACAACCCAGGAAGTTGGGGAATGTCTTGTTTTTTTTTAGTTTCTTTACAAGCTGTTCACACATTGGCTATAAAAAAGTGATTAATACATGAACAATCTTATATATAGCCCCTTTAAAATTAAAATAATTAAATTCCATTATTCCAGGCATTTCAAGAACTGAATGTTCTTCAGCATTCACGCTCTTTATGACCAATGACTTTTACAGTCGTTCGTGATTATGGGATGTTTTTTCTTTTATTTATTCTTTACTGACAATTTTTACCTGACAAAATATTTGAGTGCCTGACCTAACTAGAAAAAAATTCTATTAACTATAATGATTTCCATGACTTTTCACGTTTTTAAAATTCCCTCATATGGTTTTCAAAGACCTTATTCTTTAAAAAAAAATGACAGTTGTTGATTGAACAAAAATATTTAAAGGGGTCATATAATGCCATTTTTGTACAAGCTAATATGATTCTTTAGGGTCTAAATTAAAAGTTTGTAATATACTTTAATTAAAAATTCTCATTAGTATTGTAAGAAAACACTTATTTTACCTGGTCAAAAACAGCTCTGTTTTCAGCACGCCGTTTCAGTGTATATGACTTTAAATGATCATGAGCTTTGCTCACTCCGCCTCTCTGTTCTGTGCGTACACCATTTTTAACTCAATAACACAATAACCATAACGCGTTGTTCAGTATAAACGTGGGATTATGAATTATATTGAGAACGTCATACATAGAAAACATGCCGTAATGTACCCTGAGTGTAAACCTTAGACGCATTCATTGTGAAGCGTGCAGCTAGCGATTTGCAAAGATTAATATATTAATATAAAGTTTAATAAAACGTTACACTCTCTTCCGTTCTTCTGGAGGTTCAGCAGGAACACGAATATCTGGTACCGATCTCTTTTTCATGAGCAGCTTCTTAGCAAATCCAACTTTATACTGACCCTCGTTTATAAAGCAGTCTGGTGAGAAATGATTTGCGCAAACATGAGAGCATTGACGTTGCTCATGGGGAATATTCCCTTCGAAAACAAACCCAGCCACTGCGTCTAAGCGGTTCGGATTTAGGAACATCAAAATGACTGCTGTGTTCATTATTACACCCAAGAACAGAACACCACAATCGCTTAGACGCCATTCTGCTCATAGACAGTGCTCCAGCATATCAACAATGACTGTGCCGGTCCGTGCCGCGCAGACTATGATTGACAGCTCCCTCATGAGCGAGGGCGGGTCTGTGTTGAAACGCTCTGTCAATCAACAATCGTGGGAGGGGCGTGCGAGCTTGTGACGTCACAGGCTCGAACGGCTCGATTTGAGGCAGGGGAAAACATATAAGGAGATTAAAACAAAAACACTGGATGGATTTTTATCATCATATGATGGTTGTGTACAGACACTGCCAACACACATTTCAGTACAATCAACTTGTAAAAGTGCATGTACCATTAAATGACCCCTTTAAAAAAAGTTTTAATGTTTATATTAAATTTGACTTTGTGCTAAGGCCCCCTCCCTGGTTGAGAACCTCTGTATTATTTGGCTCACAAGAGACTGATATTAATACCAGTTGTAAACAGGGTCACTGTGTCACGGTTTCATTGTTAAGAGCTCGTTTGTTGTTGGTATGTGAATTTCCCTTTGAGTCTCTTACAAATCGTAATCTTTTTTAAATATTCATTTTAAACGTTCATTCTTGTCTAGATGTGAACGCGCTCATCAAATACTTGAAGGAAATAGAAGATGGAAGCATTGTCATGATGGCCACTTTTGACGATCCTGCAACAAAGTGAGCCGCTTCACTACATTTTTGGTCAAACTTTTACAGATCTGTCTCGGTTTGTCTATTTATTGCATTTATTTATTATTATGTACAGGCTGAATGAAGAGGCCAGAAATCTGATAGCAGATTTGGGCAGCACAAGCATCAGCATACTGGGCTTCAGAGATAACTGGGTGTTTGTTGGAGGCAAAGGGATCAAGACAAAGAGCCCCTTTGAGCAGGTAAAGTTGCCTTGTCTTTTTTTTCAGGCTACACTAATGCGGGAGCATGTCCTGTTAAAATTTGATATCAATGTAAATATCTAATAAACCATCTCATGTGTGTCTCCAGCACATCAAGAACAGCGCAGAGACCAACAAATATGAAGGCTGGCCTGAAGTTTTGGAGATGGAAGGATGCATTCCAATAAAACGCGAGTGAAATCAACTTATACAGCCTGGAGAAGATTGAAGAACACGCAATTGAACATATGCAATGTTTGATTGGCATTGACAAAGTCGAAAGTAAGAGTAGACTAGACTTTAAATTTGAAGTCTTAAATCTTACCATTAGAGATCCTGAGTATTTGCTGCTCTATATTTGTATTTATTTAACAGGGTTCCCACTCTTTTTGAATTTCCACTACTTCCAATGATCACTAGATAAGGATTTGAAAACTCATTTTAAGTGGATTCAACTAACAAAGAGCAATATGTTGCCAGTGAAATATTTTACCAGAAATAATTATAAAAAGTTGTATTTACCATAGAGAACTCCACAACTTCACTAATCATTGTCAATCCAGCCTTGAAAATCACTATTTTAAAGTTCCATGCTTGTGGGAAGCCTGATTTCTAGGTTTTATTGTTCTAACTGGTCCATAAACAGCAAGTTTTCTGCCATTTGTGAGGCTCCAGTGTAATAAGGGAAAGAGAGATGTTGAACCAAATTTACTTTGTCTCGTGTGCTGTTTTTATTATTTTTTTTCTCCAGAAAATTAAGGTAGAGAGTTCATTCTTTTTTATTATTATTATTTATCACTGCACTATGACACTCTAAATGTTGATCAGACTGGATTGATATAAATGGCCGATGGGCTGCTGTCACCAAAATGTTTTATTTTACGTCTTTTTTTATTTGTAGGTATATTTATGTTTCTTCTGTCAACAGTATTTTGACTGTTGGGCTTTAGTACTGATGAAAGATAGTGTAGAAACTTTTATTTTTTATTATGAAACTGCCCATATCTCTGGTGTGATGGCATAGTTTTTATTTTAGACTGTCTACTGTTAAACTACTGTCTCGGGTTGTATGCTGTTTGTTCTTTTTAAAAGCTTTTGGGAATGTTGTTACATTTGGGGTGGTCATCGCATTCAAAGATTCCCATCAGGGTGATAGTTCATCTGGTATCTGCGTATTCTGAGATTACTTGAGCAGTACGTCTAGCAGCTGTTATGTACCTGCAGTTAATGTTCATATCAAGCAATAATATCATACAGTATAACTGCTTTCATCCCTTATTGTGCCTTCTGTAGTGTGCTTTCCTACCAGCTAGTAAAATGTCCCACAATTATTGAGGAATTAGAATGCAAAACCATCATCACTACTTGTTAATTTTATAATTCACGGCACAATTCAATTGTAACTATATACTGTGAAGTTGTGGAATGAAACCCCTTTCTTTTGTAAGAACAAGTTTTTTGTGCCTTTTTTTTTTTTTTTTTACAATGATCAGATGCTAAGTGATTTTGTGTAAGAGTTTTTGTGTGTGTGTGGAATGTTGCACGCCATTGCCTTATACGTGAAGCTGGTTTGAGCTTTTCTTTAGTACAAAGTAAATTTAAATCAAATTATTTGTGCATTGTGTGTTTGCAGTCTTTCCTAAAGGCTCAATGATTTTTTTTAAAAGACGTTTCATATTAAAAAAAAAAGTTGAGAAAACGGTCGTTGGTTTCATTCCTGGGTTTTGTCTTACCTGTTTAGATTAAGGCTGAGAACCCTCAAGAATAACCCTAGCATATGTTCTGCCTCATCAAAGCATGCTGCACACATCCAAATTGATGCATGTGTTTATAAAGTAATTGTAGATTTCAGGAAGGCATCCATTCGGTTCTCATTGGCCTAAGAAAAGACCAGAGAAGGTTTCAAAGTACACAGCTGCACAAGAAAGAGATGGGGAATTTCACTGTCAGCTTAACTGATAAAAATCATTTCTCTCGATAACAGATTTATTCCATTCTGAAAATATCAAAATATATATAGGTACTGATGTAGGCAACAATATAATGTACAGACCCAGTCTATACAAATGTCAATTTGTTATTGGCTGAGAACTACTTTTTATGCCATCAATGAAGACCTTATATTCTGACAAGTCATTTAAAAACTGTATCTCCTCGTCTCCATTTTTGAATGATTTAAAACAAATGACTAGTGGGAAGTTCTGAACGTGAAGTGCTCTGAAACAGGGTAATTAATTCATTTATCCTGCAGCATGTGTCCTTCCCCTCCACCTGCTCAAATCCAGCATCATCATTATGGCATGTCGAAATATAACCACTATTTAAGTGCATAAAACACATCCAGAGGGAGAGGATTTGAGAATGGGAGGGAGCGTATACAGCTGTAGAACTCCTTAAAATGTTCCGGGTTCAATGCTGTCAGTTACCACAGAATAATTTCGACCCCTTTAGTTACTAATAACCAAAAAAATAACGTGTTATTTAAGCTGTATTTGTCAAATTCGTATTTTATCAATGGGGCTACGGTCCTAGTCAAATTTGTTTAGTAATAATGACCGTTTGACTGTACATTATCCTGCTTAGTACACGGCTATTTAGCAAGAAAATAAATAAACGGAAATAGAATATCGATTTGAGTTGAAATTACCTGATTTTTCCCCCCACTAGAAGTGATAACGGAGACACTAGATGGCGCCAGTTGCGTTTTAGTATAAAACGAAAACGTTACTTGCTATTGACGACAGCGATTGACTAATCAGAATCGAGTATTCCAAGTGGCGTTATCACGTGTCCAGTCTTTACAACAATGCCTAATGATATACATTAGAAACAATTTAAAAGTTTATTTCAGAGCAATGTCTTAAAATAAACTTACACAAGAAGGATGGATGACTGGAAACACGACGTTTGCTTGTTTATACAATCCGAGGAACGAATCAAAATTATTTTGTTTTGATACAATCGAACCCGGAACAGTCATTCAAATTAAGTTTTTTTTTTGGCAGCTCTTGAAAATAATACATCATCTGTTAAATATCTATCTGTGTAACTGAGACTCTCAATGGGAGGATGAAGGCAAGGCTCTTAACACTCAATCTGTGATGTACAGAAACAGTCCAGACTCCAGACACATGAACAGAATTGAACAGAGCAATATTTTGGTTGCTGAGGATCACATAAATTAGAATCTCTACAATATGTAAAATAATATCGGTTAAAGTTAAAAATAAGATTTTTTTTTTTTTAAACATTTAAAGAAAAAAAGGCAAATACATACGCTTGGCTTTGGAAACAAACCTATTCGAACATGTCATAGATATATGAAGCAGAGTCAATGGAGACTTTACACTCCAGCGGCAAAGACCATGAAGAGAGAAATAAACATGTTCCAATGCATGATGGGAAACCAGGTCTCCACACTAACACCTCAATAAGTGCAAAATAAATAATGCAATATCCCAATCCGGTAATCCAACAGATTTGGTACCATTGTAAGCTTGCAGAGATATGATACGTGAATTTTGATAGCCAAAAAATTCCTAAAAAAAAAAAAAAAAAAAAAAAAAAATCACATGATGTTCAGTATGAAATATTACAAGAGGATCTTGGTATTTCCAACGAGAACTTCCGGAAGGTTCTGAGAAAAGTTCAAAAAGTCTTTCTGACAGCATATAACAAGTTCTGATTAGAAAAAAATCTGGCGATGCATAACACTGTCCTGTGGGTATTTCATTAGGGTACTATATAGCATACTAGGAAGTTGGGGCATAATTTCTTGGCCTCTGGGGGGGATCATGTGCTGCATTGGCACTGATAAGGATGCAAATAAAATTGTGGTGGTGGTTCTTTTGTGACCAGGTGACATTTTAAAACCGACAAAAAAAAGCCTGTTTGCTTTGAGGCAAACCCTTCTGTCCTGTTACAGGGATTTTGAAGGATTTGTAACTTAAGGCAAAGGTCATTATGATTACTTTTAGCTTTAAACCCATGATTAAATTTTCAGAAAGCTTGAACAGAAAATGCACTAGAAAGTTGATCTAAGAGGGGAAAAAATGGACGAATGTAATTGAATACAATCAGAAGGTCTTGACTAACTACCTAGAGCGTTGTTGGAAAAAACAGTTGCTTGTATATGCTTGATAAATAACATCTTGCATGCAATGAAAAGAAAAAGTCGAAAAAAAAATTCAATTAGGTCCACCCCCATCATGAATGTATAGATTACGAATGAGTCGAATTTAAATTAAATGGCTAAACGTTATTGCACAAGTGCCAAAATGGACACCATGTCAGAGTATCAACTCTAATTTCATACATTTCTGCCCCAAAGCACTTCAGAACATTCAAATACATGATTTAATGAGATTAGGCCATAATTATGTTTAAAAAAATCCTAAAAGTGAACTTTGCGGGGCGGTGACCTGTGCAGAAAAGTGTCAAGCATTACAGAACACTTCAGTTGTGCTTCAACATACAGTAATTGTCACAGAGGCTGTTGTCAGGCAACAAGGCTTTCGATTTTGCATGAGGATGTTCGAGACGTTATGCCGTGAAGGATGAGCCTGTGCTTTCCAATCATGACCTTCACATCCCTGTTTTCTACCATCCAAGGCTGCGAGCGAAAAAGAATCCAGAAAAAAAAAATTAAGGGAGGGACACAAACCGAGGAAAAAAAGAAGTCCTGACAGATCCTGTAATCACACGCGGTCACTGCTACATTTAAAACTGTGCATATCCCATACAAAGTTGAAAAGATTAAAAGACTAACACCTCTGAGCACTGTACTGGTTACTGGTTTGTGTTACATGCCCCTGTCTTCCTCCTCCAATGATGGGCTGATTGGCAGTATCCAGGACCAATAACATGGCAGCATTCTTTTATTTAAACACCAAAAGTGGTATTGAGGTTTGGGGGTTCAAAATGGAAGAGGCGGAGAGTGGGTCGGACTCCTATCCAGAGCCTTCAGACCGGTCCGTTAGGCGTAACCTCAGCGGGAGTGGGTGCCTCGACTCTGTAGAGGCATGAGAGTGAGTAAGAGAGGATGGAGGCAGTTTTGTATCCATCATATAACATCAGCTTACTACATCCACTGTTACCTCGTCTCCGTCACAGTGGTGGCGTCTGACTCTTCTGTAGGTGCTGAAGACTCGCTACTGTCGGTGATGCTGAGCTTCTCCAGAGCGTCAGTAGGCACCTCGCTGCAGAGAAAAAGTGCAGCCGCAAAATACAATGATTATTACACATCAATAATCACTCTTCGAAAATCAGGTGGTGTCACATTAGCTAAAGTTTGTGGGCGAAAACAGTCCACTGTCAATAGTTTAGCGATGTATGAAGCACGGCTCACAGCGAAGTCAATTTCAAACCAAGCAGCTTTCTGTTGGTCAACATTGCAAATTTGTGCGACAAATATGAATCCATTGTGAAATCTTTGTCACAGAAATTCCCAATTGCGTGGATTCTTATTAGAATGGCCGCATCAAACGCTGC